AGTAATATAGTCAATTATATATTAACTTGTTGTCCCGATATGCCCCACAAAAGTCATTTTACTGAAATTAAATCTAAAAAAATTCAATTCCAGAAATTTTTTTAAAATTAGATTCTAAAAGAGGATAAAAAATACTGTCTGAAAAATAGAAACTTTTTATAAATAAAGCAAATTAGCAATAGTTCAAGATAAATCTTTTGTCCTTGTATCGCTCAAGAAAATAAGCAAATATTATTTCTGGCAAACTTACTGATTCATTTTGGTACTTTTAATGCATTTTGGTACTTCTAAAATTAACTTTAACATTATTGAAGCACAATAACCTAAAATGCTTTATCAAAAAATTTTTTGGAAAAAAATGATTTTTACCTGAGATACGAGGCTTTTGGCATAATTGTCTCGTTTTGCCCCACTGTCCCGATATGCCCCATTTTACCCTATGGTGCTGTGTACTCTACAAGATCCTAAAATTTCAAAGTTTTTAATTCAGAAAACCTTTTTTTGAATATTAGAAACAATGCAACAATACCCCCCAAACAATCCAACAATAGCTTAGAAGAAGAAGACCAAGGAATGTAAATTGATATCAAAGTACGTTGGGGAACACAGGGTTGTATTAAATACAACATACTATTGGCTCTTGAAAGTTTTTCATTTAATTGAACCAGTTGATAGTTCCTTGGTATAGTTTTTGTCAAGAAATATCCCGAGATATTTTTTATATTTAGGTAAGAAAAGTCTTTTACTGTTAATTCTAATTTTCACATTATCATTATCAATCTTTTTATTTGTATGTTTAATTTTCACATTACCATCAGTGTCGGGTCTAGGGAGCGGAATGGGCATGCCAATTTGATACAAAATAGAAAAATATTTCAACATCAAAAAAAACCAACTGCTTTTACTCAGCGTTTTTGGAGTAATTGTTTAGCTTAACGTGAATAAGAATTTGTGAAAAATTGCTCTAATTTATATTTATCCAAAAACATTGAGTAATTGTTCAGCTTTACGTGTGTAAAAATTTGAGTAAAATTCTTGAGATTTTAAATCACGTAAAGCTGACCAATTTTTTTTTTCGTGGATTATTGCTTTTTTTTTTTTTTTTCACCCGACCTCATTTCATCAAAACCGACCCTGTGGATTATTGCTTTTTTTTTTTTTTCACCCGACCTCATTTCGTCAAAAAAACAAATGATTTTACAATGAACTCGTATAAATAAAATATATTCTTTAAATGACAGGACCAAACAGAAGACAGTATACCATATTGTTTTGCTCCCTTATAATATTACATCTTATAATATTACATCAAAAAAATTTAAACATTAATAATAATTTTGCTCCCTTATAATATTACATCTTATAATATTACATCAAAAAAATTTAAACATTAATAATAATTTTAAAATAAGCCCGACAAATAATTCAAATAAAGAAGTATCTGTTTATCTTTTTAATGCCAGAAGCCTTGCTAATAAACTTCATGAATTTAATTTATATACAGAGATAGTCAACCCAGCTTTAATATGCGTGTGCGAAACCTTTTTTAACAATAAACTAACCAATGACATTGTTTGTCCTAATGGCTATTCAATTTATCGTAAAGACCGTATGAAAATTGGAGGAGGAGTCGCTATTTATTGTCGACATGATATTAAGTCCGAACAAGTTGCAATTACTCAAAACAATAATGATGTTGATATTATCTGCGTTGACTTAGTCTTTGGAACCCTCAAACTTCGTTTAATTACATGCTACCGTCCACCTTCTTATTCCAAAATAGATTTTAACTATCTCGTCTCTATGATGTCAATTATAAATGATTTGTGCTACTCAGTTTCTCAATTTATTATTGTGGGTGATTTTAACTTACCAAAAATTGACTGGCTAAACTACATCTCACCGAACGAAAAATGTCATAGTTTATTTTTAACTCTTGTCAATAGTCTTGGTATGCATCAATTTGTTCACGAACCAACACGCGAATCCAATATTTTAGACCTTGTTTTTTCTAATAACAATGCTCTTTTAAGTAAAATTTCTGTTGAGTGCCCTTTTAGTACCAGCGACCATAACTCAGTCCATTTTTCTTTAAACATTAATGATAAATATCAGTACGAAAAGAAATCGGAATATTTTTATGATTTCATCAATGCTGATATAGATAACTTTCTAATTTACCTTTCAAATATTAATTGGGACTATGAGTTTTCTTATGTATTCAATATTGATGAATATTGGAACATTTTCTATAATCATATGAGAATTGGGATAGACCGTTTTGTTCCAGTAAGAAAAATACGTCATAGTAAAAAGAGTCATCATTACCCTAAATATATCAAGAAAATGATAAGTCGAAAATTATTTTTATGGAAAAGATATTCCGTTAATAAAACCATTCTACATAAACAAGCTTACAAAACATACGCCATCAAATGTAAACAAACCTTGTTTGCTTATCTCAAAAGAATCGAACTCAAATTAGTTGATGACCATAAACTCAGTAAGTTCTTTAACTATGTTAATAATAAACTAAATATTCATAAAGTGAGTTACCCTATAAAAAACAAAGACAATAATTTCAAGTTAACTTCTAGCAACAAAGAAACCGCTGAAGTTTTTAATAAACACTTTGGAAGTGTATTTACGGACGATAACAACTATTCACCAAATATTACTAGTTTTGTTAACGACTCGATAAACATTGTAGACATTAATTTTTCTGTTGAGACGGTTTATTCAACTTTAATCAATCTCAAACCGAGTACATCTTATGGTCCTGACGGAATACCGAACATTCTTCTGAAAAAGCTAGCTCTTGTTTTATGTATCCCACTTTCGTTTATATTTGATGCCAGCTTCAAGTCAAATAGTCTACCACAACAGTGGCTTCAAGCTTTTGTTTCTCCAATTTTTAAAAAAGGAGCAACATCAGACCCTAATAATTATAGACCAATTTCACTCACAAGCACCTGTTGTCGTGCAATGGAAAGAATTATTAACTCGGATATTATTAAATACTTAACTCTCCATAACTTAATAGCCAATAATCAACATGGTTTCCTCAAGAAACGCTCTACATGCACTAATCTTTTAGAATCTGTTAATGATTGGAGTACTGCACTAGACAATAATCTAACAACAGATGTTGTATATATTGATTTTCAAAAGGCATTCGATTCTGTATCACACCCTAAATTGTTAGCCAAACTAGCTTTATTTAACATAAGAGGTAATTTAAAGAATTGGATTGCTGCATTTCTTAACAATAGGAGTCAACAAGTTAAGGTTGGAACTTCATTATCAAAACCAACTTGTATTGTTAGTGGAGTTCCTCAGGGCAGCGTGTTAGGCCCAACATTATTTTTACTATATATCAATGATATAACCGCTATAGTCAACTACCTTGATTGCTCTTTAAAACTTTATGCCGATGACATCAAGTTATACAGTTCATTTTGCAATACGGACCATAGCCATTATTTTGCTATTGCTCTTAATAATGTAGTACTTTGGTCAGAAACATGGCAACTACCTATTTCTACCAGTAAGTGTTTTGTTCATAGGATTGCACCTGCTTCATCGAGAAAATTTGTTAACTTTAACTATAAGTTAGGAGATCATATTTTAGCTTGGTCTTCTATTCCGAAAGATCTCGGTGTAACTCTGGACTCTCAACTAAACTATAAAAAGCATATCTCAAACATTGTACATGCAGCTAATACTAGAGCATATCTTATTTTAAAATGCTTCAAGTCTCGCGATTCTAGAATCTTAGTAAAAGCCTTCAATACATATATTAGGCCCATATTAGAATATTGCTCCCCAGTTTGGTCACCATATCATGTTGAACTAATAAAGGGTGTTGAGAACGTGCAAAAACGTTTTACAAAAAAAATCCTGCACTTAGGCAATTTAACCTACGATAACCGACTTCAGTTGCTTGATTTGGAGTCGCTTGAGTTAAGGCGAGTAAAGCATGATTTATCAATTTGCTACAAAATTCTGCATAACTTGGTCTTAATTGATAAATCTATGTTCTTTCTTTTTGACAACAAAAACAACATTCGGGGGCATAAGTATAAATTGCACAAACAACATTGTCGACTAGATATTCGCAAATTTAGTTTCTCTTACCGAGTTGTCAACATCTGGAATCAGCTGCCTTTCGATGTTGTTAATGCCGATAATATCAACATCTTTAAGAGGAAAATTAACTCAATCAATTTTGAAAAGTTTTGTCGGCGTTGATAAATTATTTATTCAATGTTGTACGCCATTACATAATTTATTTATTTATTTATTTTTTGTGGGTGGGCACGCTGTTAGTGTCCATCAATATTGGACCTGTGTGTCCTTTAGAACATGTATATTATCTGTTCTAATAAATACAAATACAAATACAAATCTTAATAACTTTAAACTGTTTAATTTAATTTAATTAAAAAACTATTAAAAGTTTTATTATTTCTTGATTTAATTTTTGTTGTTATTATTGCGTAAAATTTCCACTACTACGTCAAAACTTTCCACACAAAACGGAAACTCGCCTTTTTATTTATATACATCAACGTATGCTAATATTTAAAAAAAGTAGTTGAATGTAGCGTAACGTAAATAAATGTAATAACTTATATAACGTAATATAATGATGTATTAACGTAAATAAATAAACGTAACGTTTATTTATTAACGTTACGTTTAAATAATATAAATAAAACGAGGCATTTTACTTTAATAGAAAAAACATAGTTAAAAATATATGCATAATGATTATGCTGATAATTTTTTTTAACAATATGCAAACTTTGCTGTTAACAAATTTTGTCTTCGAAAAAAACATTTTATTAAACTTATATTATGTAAAATCAAATAATTAAGTAATAGTTTTCCCTCCCAAATTTTGACTTTTTATACTCGTACAAAATAAATAAAACGTGATACTTGGAAAACTTCGAGCCCGGAAGTCTTAAATATTTTGTTTGTGTGCGTGTTTCACGTGTGCGGATATAATAGCTTTCCGCTTCATAATAAGGCCTGAAAATCCATATGAAAAAGAATGGTGAAAAACTGGATTTCAAATTTAATTCTCTAGGCCACAAGAGCAAATCTTCTTCCTAATAACTAACTTTTACTGTACACTCCACATGCGGGAAACCAAGAGAATACAATCATTCTTTTACATTTATTTTTTTAAATATTCGTTTTTCCAGATCCAGAAACATGTTATTTATTGCGTTCTGTAGAAGACAATAGTTTCTAATTCTGTATAATATTAAATTTATTTAAGAGTATCATTAATTCTTTTTATTAGTATACTTTTAATAGTATTTGAACAATATTTTATAACTTATAGAATTCATCATCATTTGTTGGAACCCATCATGAGTTTTAAAACTGATTCTTTAGAGCCTTTATCTTTATCTTATCAAGAATATACGGACAATAATTGTTTAGGAGATTTTTATTCTACAAAAAATATTTCTAAAAATGAAAACAAACATGCACTTCAAATTACAAACTTTAAAAATATTTTAAAAGACAATAATAATGAATTGGAATTGTCTCTTTTATTACACAATAATGATTATAACAATACTAGAGAATTTATTGGCAATTCAATTTCTGATACCAACAACATTAATTTAGATGACAATGAACCAGATAGCACTGACATTTTATCAGTAAAAAAAGCAAATGATGGTATATGTAAACCTGATGCTGTTGATGAAAGTTTTATTCGTAGTCTTATTGAAGCTGCATATAAAGAAGATGAAAATGAAATTTCTAAAAAAAACTTAAAACCAAGGGCTATGTCATCTCCAAATCGAGAAAAGATATATATTCGGGAGTTATCTTATGATGAATTAAAGGACATGGATGATTTTGACTTGATGGCTCCTGTTTATCTTGCTGTGACGGATGAAGGGGCTGATAATCTCCAAGATTTAAAGAGAGCATCTAAGTCTATTGAAAATCTTTGCAGCGCAACCTTAGAGAATGAAAGTAAAATTTTGTTTCTGTTTTTTGAAATGTGTTTAAATCATTTTTGATTTTGTTTGTGAACTAATTTTATGTAAATATAATGGTACTTTGCAGTATCTTTAGTTTAGTATATATATATATATATATATATATATATATATATATATATATATATATATATATATATATATATTATATATATATATATATATATATATATATATATATATTTATATATATATATATATATATATATATATATATATATATATATATATTTATATATATATATATATATATATATATATATATATATATATATATATATATATATATATATATATATATATATCGGTAAAAACACTTATCTTATGTTCTTCAACAGCTTGTTTCTCCATTTGTAGGTTCATCAGGAAGTTCCATCCAAGCATCTCCATCAGTAGTTTCATCAGGCTTCTTGATGAACCTACTGATGGAAAAACAAACTGTGGAAGAAAATTAGATATGTTTTTTTACATATTCAATATTGTGCTGTTCTTTAAGAGCATTGAGCACTCTATTTGTAGAATTATATATATATATATATATATATATATATATATATATATATATATATATATATATATATATATATATATATATATTTTAAATTAGCATCTTTGTCAAATTTTGTTATTTGTTAGGATGTGTGCACAAATTGGGTGTTTTTTATAATACTGATTTTTAAATAGACAAAGTTTTTATCTTCTTTCCTTAACTTGAAGCTTATGTCATCTGCAACACGCTCTTACCTTTTTCTTACTTATAACTGCTATTTTACTACATGTTGATGCCTAATTATTAGCATCTTTATGCACAATGCCCAAATCACTTTATTCTTTCGTTATAAGTATAAGCAAGAAAAGTAAAGAAAAAAAAAAGTAGTAAAATGAAGGGAAATAAAAAGTTTTGAGACTGATTTTAAACAAAAGTTTTTTAATAAAAACTTTTACTTTTTGTACTGTTTGTTGAATAGTATAATAAAATTAATATTTTATTGACAATTCAGTTTCTAAAACCCTCAACATTGGTTTATATACGAAGGAGCCAGTAATTTTTAAGCATATCATTTTTATTCTTATTTTTAATTTTTTAAATTTATGACTGTTACATGTTTTTAAATTTTAATGTTATAAATGGTTTTTCAAAGACAGGTTTTTCAAAAAGAAATCATTGCAAAAGATTTTTGATGATCTTTCTGAACCTTTAAAATCTTTGCCAATAGGATCATGGGAAGATGAACTTAAATCCAGAAAATCTTCAAATGAATCTGTTGTAGACAACTTATCTAGTTACAAGAATTGCTGTGAATCTATTTTAAGTGATGCATATAACGAATCAATTGATGACTCCTTAGAAGATCAGGCTTTTATTGAGGTGCTTAAAAATCATACATCGTTTGATGATGATAGTGGTGTCACATACCATTCAGCAAGCTCTTTAGATGAACCTAAAGATATTAAGTAAGTATTTATTGTGTCGGCTTAAATAGTATTATAGTTATTTATTAATGATTGAGAAATAAAAATTTGCACAAAAATAAAACATTGCTTAATAATTAGTATATCAATAATTTAATTTTTTTTATAATAATTGGTTTTTCATTATATCTTTAAGTATAAATGCTCCATTTGTCTGGAAAATAGTTTTATTGATAAAAAGTTAAAATTAAAAGTTGACTAATTTGAATATAAAAAAAGTAAATCTACTGTCTAAAAGTTAGAAATTTTGTTTTCAACATTTACAATAATTTACTAAAATTTAAGTAAATTTTAGTAAAATTGTTGTATTTTCTAAACCCATTTAGCTCTCTGTTTTGTGAGCTAAATGGGATGGTAAAAGATTACTAAATCTGTCTAACAACATCTATGGAGTAATCAAAGATCATCGCTACACTTTTGTCTTAGATCATCTGTACTTTTCTTTTACTCTAATAACATCTGTCCAGTATTATCTAAAAGTTTAATGATCCCTAACAACATCTTTAGAAAGATGTAACTACATCTAGTAATTTTTCTCAAAGTCCAATAATATCTGGAAGAATTTTCTCTAGATGTAGTTACATTTGAAAAAAATTCTATATGTAGCTTCATCTGGTTAAAATAATGCATTATTAGTTAATATTTTAAAGATGTAATTATGTTTGAAAAAATTTTATATGTAACTTCATCTGGTTAAAGTAACGATGTAAATATATCTGTAAACTCCAAAGATGTAGTTGCACAGATGTTATTACACTTTGATAATTTAAAAGATGTAACTACATCTGTAGAACCAACAGATTTAGTGGCACAGATGTAATTACACTTCTTTAATTTAAAAGATGTAACTACATCTGTATAATCCACAGATATAGTTGCACAGATGTTATTACACCTAGATAATTTAAAAGATGTAATTCCATCTGTAATATTCATTTAATTTTGGCACAGATGTTATTAGACAACATTGGAATTTCAGATGTTGTTGAATAGTGTTATTATACCTCTTTATACTTTCAGAAGTTGTTTGACAGGTGTTATTAGACGCGTGCAAAAACTGATGTTGTTACCCTGACCCAATGAGTTTAGTTTAGTAATACAAAATTTATCAAAATGATATTATACACCATGTCTATTATCTAACCCATTGTATAATAATTTGATTGCATAGTGTCATAATAGTTGTTGCTTAGCAAAATAAATAACTTTTTAGCAAAATAACTAACTTCTTATAACTCTTCTTAGAAACATATGAGTCTAAGTTCTATTTTTTTTTGCAACCAAACACTAAGTAGTAGATTTTTTGAGTTAGAGTTGATAAAAATTCTAGTTAAAGTTGTTGTGCATGTGATACTGATGTCAAAAAGTTATACATTGTATTGATTCTTCCCATTCCTAATCTGTAACTTTAATTTCAGATTGGTAAGCACTTGCTTATAATACGTTTCTTGAACTTTATAAATAAAGTCCAAGAAATGTATTAAGTTTGTTCTCAGATATCCATGTCTAACGTTCTAATCTTTCTTTGAAAACATTTTCACCTTCTTTTTTATTTTTAATTAAAATGATTTCAAAGTTATTTGTTGTAAAAATAGTTGAAAAGCAGCATTTATGGTGTCTGTCATGCATTTACTGTGTCTGTCATATGCATTTATGGTGTCTGTTATAGGCATAAACTGGTAATCCTAGCTTTACTTTTATGACATTTTTTACGGATAACTTTGCAGAACTGTTTAATATTAGTTTTTAGTCATATTTTGTTAATTTTTTTTAATTTTTAACACTTCATTAATTTTACCAAGACTTATTCCCTCAGCTTTATCACAATGTGTTTTTATTTTTTTATTTTTTTGCAACACCTGATTTGTATAACTTATTCTGCTTCTTCACCTATTTGCACCATTTACAACAGTCCTCTTCTAAATCCTTTCAAAGGATTTAAAAGCTACATAAGGAAAAAAAAATAAAGAGCCGGAAAGTTTACAAATGAAATCATGTTAAGATCCAGCCTCCAACATCATTTTTGTATATTTTGAAAATGATAAAAGTCATAAGTTTCCTGAAATTTCATGTAAACCTCTTTACAGTATTTCCATATATAGTAAGCGCAAGGTAAATCTCAATATTTTGGAATTTTTTTCTAAATTTTTGTTTAGATTGTATATGTAGTGTATCCTGGTTTTTTCATAATGTTGTTTAAAATAAAAAAAGATTTCACAAAAGTTATGCAAAAAAAAAAAAAAAAATAATAACAAAAAAAAAGCTTATTTGTGCAAATTATTTCTTTGAAAAATCTTTTTTTAATTTAAACAACAATTAGTGCTTCCAATGCCAACATCATTTTTCAATATGGGTTTTTTGGTACTGAATAATTTCAATGGCGGTATAATACCGGTATTAAACTTTTTTTTTTATTTATATTCGCTTTCTATTTTTGAACATCGTATCATTTAAGTAAAAAAAGGAGCAAAACAATATGAGAGAAGGGCCATGCTAACAACAGGAAAATTTATTCCCAGACCCCAACGATTTAGGGACTGTCTTAAATACTTGTTATATATCAAAGCGTCAATACAATCATAATTGCAATGTGAATGTGTAGATGGTATTTAGATTTTGAAGCTTCACAAATTAATTTTGTGTCAGGATACCAAGCCAGCTTGGAACAGCCCTGTATGAAAGTATTAATAATAATCAAAAGAATTAAGTAAACAAAAAAAGGAAAAGTTAATTAAATGCATAACCAAAAGTTTAACTAGGTATAAATAATGCTAACATGCTATGAATTAGATGAATTACATGTTATTGTTATTAAATAAACAAACAAAAATTAAATATTAAAAAGTATAAAAAGTATATAAAGAGGATTTTAAGATTTTTATTTGACTAAATCAACTTTTATATATTTTTTAAAAATGATTTTACAATCCTTGTGTTTCGTAGTTAAAAGGTTGATCCTTTAACTTTTTTACTCTTTAACGTTGTTAAAGGATTAAAAAAACCTTTATTGGATGTTTTTCAATTTTGTTTTCTGTTTTGCAATAACATCTACAATGAGTTCCACATAATATATTTTTATTATTGTGATATACTATATATGTGAAGATTGTAATAGTCGTGTACAAATTGCAGTTGTATGTGGTGTACTAGTTGCTGTGGTGTGATGTATGCGATGTAAACACTTTTAAAACAGCATTAACAAAGCTTATTAAATATAACAAGCTGTTACTTTTGCTAACTTTGATCCACTTTAAGCAAAATTTATGAAATAAATGTCGTCTTTGAGCAACTTATTTTGTGCACTGACGATGCTTTTTTATTGCTCAAATTTGTTTCTCTAATTTCAGATCATCTTAAATGACAATTAATGAAGTATATTATTGATGTTTATACTATTTCATATCAAAACTCATTTATTATTTATCTTTTAATATCTTAATTTAAATTATGTTAATGAGTGCTAATTGTTTTTAATAATTGTTTAATAAATTATTCTGCTAAACATATTTGTTTGTGTTTGTTTGTTTTTTCTTTTATAGACAAAACCAGAGTTGTTAGTCCTTGGCCTTGGCATTGCCTTAAGGCCAAAAATTGAGGCCTTGGCCTTGAAACTGTTGGCTTTGGCCTTGAAAAAAATACATATTTTCTTATTGACTTCATTGAATTCTGCGCATAACCTTGGTGTATTTTTACAAAATGTGGCTTTTTTGTCACAGCACTTGCCTTGGCTTTGCAACTTTTGGCCTTGTTAACAACTCTGGACAAAACATGTTAATCTTTTGTGTAAATAATTTGATTATTTGTTTTCCATTTTTTACTTGCTTTCTGATGAGAGAAAATTCCATTTTAGTGTTCCAAGTTGTGTTGAGGAGGAACTTGGAATGGGTTTACGAAATGGTTTTGCATTTCAAAAGTTGTGTAGTGATAATGGTATATATATTTTTTCTTCAGGAAAAATCTATATTTATATTAAAAATTTTCTTTTTTTTTTTTTTGAAATGAAATGTTTTTTCTTTTTTTACAAAATTTTTAGCATTTATGTAAAATAGTTTTTTAGATGATATGCTTTTACAAATATTTCTTTTAAGCCTTAATTCATATTTAAGGTGATAACACAATCTTGTTCAATAAAATAAGTATTGATCTAGGTTTTTGCCCATTTTTATTTTGCTCTCTTTCAGGTAGTTCAAATCATTTCGTTTTTTTATGCTCAAAAACTTATATTTCTAGTTTTTTTTCTTTAAACATTTAAAATTCTGTATTCTTGTTTTTTTGATTCTATATACAAATGTCATTTGCACATGACACCACTTTTGTTGTGCCATAACTGTTGTTGCCGGGAATATTTAAATTGTCTTTGAATATTTTTAAATAAAATTGCCAAAAAATAATGCATAAGATTCCTTGTGCAATATTTTTGCACAAGGAAGCTTATGCATTATTGTTTAATTGAATTTTTGTTAAGTATTGGTTATCATTGTTATCAGATTAAAATTAGTAAATAAAAATTAAATTGAGAAAAAGTTTCAGAAATTTTTAAATAAAAATCCATTGCTCATCAATCAATATTAAAGACATTGCCAACACTACTTTGTGTATTCTGCTTGTAGACTTATTGTTATGAAAATCTTCTCATATTGTCTACTTATGCTTGTTATACTGGTAAAATGAAAAACACTTCAAAATTTATTGGTTAAAAATATAAAAATCCATAAAAGCTTTTAACTATAAGACCTCTAGTAAATAAGACACAATAGGGTTATTTTTTAATATTTATATTTTGGTTGAAAATAAAATGGTTTTTTGATAAAAATAATTTAAGTAAAAAAAGTTTTGAGTTTTCATTCCTCCTGAATCAAATTTTCCCTCAAGTTATCCAGAATTTATAGAAAAAGCTTGCTTGGACTCACTTGATGGTTTTTTCAACGAAGTGGATGGTCTCCATTTCATTGAAAAAAGTTTAAAATTCTCAGTTATCTTTCTGATTGCTTCATAAGCCAACTTGTCTTTTGAAATGATTTTTTAATGGTTTGTTCTGTACCAACTGTCAAGGCTGGTTTGTCTTTTCTCTTTGAATTGTCTCAAAGTTATAATTTGTATTGTTATGCAAAGAGTTTATTTTTGTTGTTTCAGTCTGTTTAAATAAAACTTCAAAGGATGCAACAATGTTGAATGAAATTTGTCATCACTGCAAATCAATTGTGAAAAAATCTACTTCAATTTTTTTCTGATTGAACCTTTGACTTTGAGAAAATGTTGAGTTATTGACAATATTTTTATTATCAATTATTGATAATACTGCTTCATCTTGTTTTCATGACTCTTTCATCATTGTCTTCTTCAAAATTGTTGTCTTTTTCAAAAAATTAAATCTTCTTCAATTATTTTCTTCAAACAAGCCTCTATAGAGATTTAAATCAGGAATATTGTGTGCTTATACACTAAAAATAAATATAATAAATATTTATATTAATTTTATACTTTAATTTATGACTCTTTGGTTTACTTTATCTTTTTGTTTTTTTTAAAGAGAAAATGTCAACATTTTGGGAGTATTCTTATGAACAATCAAACTCTGAAAATAGTGATACAACATTTGTAGTAGACACTTTCAACAATAAATCTATCAACACCTCACCTGAGTCTGCCTTCAATATCCGTGGTGAAAGATTTGTTATTGTAAACATTGCTGGACAACATCGCGTAGTAGACTTGCAGTTAATAGAACAATATGTTAAGTTAATTTCCCATGGAGGTAATTTGTAAACATTATTAGAATCTCTTTTTTTGTTTATTTTAATACATTTCAAAAACAGTTAATATTACTAGGAGACCATTATGTCAATGATGAAAGGCGTGTCATTATTGTAATTAATGCATATCATCTTCCTAAAGCTAACATTGAAAATTATCGAATAATAATGGAGCAGTTATTCTAGTAAGCTTTCACACAAAAAATAAATTTTTTATGTCTTTGTGTTGACATAAAAATTATTTCTGATTAATATTTTTCAAGCAGAATTGTTTTTTTTGTTTTGTTTTTCCAGCTACTGCATCCACGCAGTTACCTTGCTTGTTATAGACACCTATGAAATAGTGTTTTTTAACTCAAATGTTTCTGCAGAGCAACGACCTAATCGTGATTGGATTAAGAATGTGTATAGTTTTATTCAGTACAGGTTTATAATGTTTTGTTTGATTAAAAAATATATGTTTCTAAATTCTACTAATTTCACAGTTTATAACTTTACCAACTACATTTCAGGTTTCGAAAACAACTGAAAAAAGTTTATTTTGTTCATCCTTCTTTGTGGCTTAAGGCAATGATAAAGTTTTGCAGCCTTTTTGTCAGGTAACTCACTAAATTATATATTTAAAGTTTGCAAAATTTGCATCAAATATCTTTGGATTTAAATAATTCAACTATCTTGTTGGTTATTTCAATATTTGAAGAAGTTTTCTGAGTAAATTAGGAGGTTGTTTAAATGTCAATACTGGATGATTATTGTATAAGATATTTTTAACTTTTTCATTAGCAGAAACTTAAAGTAAAAGGTTTGGTTCAGTAACATAAGGTTGACAATTAAGATTTTTTATTACTACTATAAGGGAATGTTATTTTCTTTTTTTCTTTTTTTTATTAAATAAATTTAATATTTAAAAAAATGTTTGATATTAACAAATTTCTTTCTTTTCTCGATATTTGCATAAATGAATTAAAATATGTTAAATTTTTGAATTTTTAAATGATTATTTCTTAAATTTCTAATTTAAGAAATTTAAGAAATAAATTTTTGAATTTTTAAATGATTATTTCTTAAATTTCTAATTTAAGAAATTTAAGAAATAAATTTTTGAATTTTTAAATGATTATTTCTTAAATTTCTAATTTAAGAAATAAATTTTTGAATTTTTAAATGATTATTTCTTAAATTTCTAATTTAAGAAATTTAAGAAATAAATTTTTGAATTTTTAAATGATTATTTCTTAAATTTCTAATTTAAGAAATTTAAGAAATAAATTTTTGAATTTTTAAATGATTATTTCTTAAATTTCTAATTTAAGAAATTTAAGAAATAAATTTTTGAATTTTTAAATGATTATTTCTTAAATTTCTAATTTAAGAAATTTAAGAAATAAATTTTTGAATTTTTAAATGATTATTTCTTAAATTTCTAATTTAAGAAATTTAAGAAATAAATTTTTGAATTTTTAAATGATTATTTCTTAAATTTTTAATTTTGCAACTACAAATGATTTATTATTTTAAAAAAATTAGAGAGTAACAAATAAAAAATTAAATTACTTTATTAAAAGTTTATTATTTTATTAACGGTTTTGTTTTGAAAGCAAAGAATATTTTTCCAAACATTTATTAAAATTATATCGCTGTATATATCATATATAAAAAATTATTGCTGCAATTTAACTTGCATTATAAAAAAAAAGTTTAACTTACATTCGTGCAAATTTTTGATGCAATCGTTTATTTATTAATTTTTTTCAAATCAAAATTAAATTTTTTTAAAACAAAGTTATATTTTTTTAAATCTAAATTGAATTTTTTTTATTATTATTAGAATAAAATTATATATTAATTTTTATTAATTTAGTTTTAAATTAAATCATTTTTTTTAATCAGAAATTATATTATTATGATCTGGTAAAGCTACGTGTAAAAACAAGACCTAAACAAAGCATTAATGAAGTTCACTTTATACTTGTGGACGTTTAATTACACAAGAATAATATAGATAATTAAAGCAGAATATTAACAAAGAAATGAAACAAATTCACTTCAATACTTGCGGAGGTTTAATTACATAAGAATAAGTTTAGTCATCGTAGAATAAAATTTTATTTTTCACATAGTTAATTCAAGAAACATTTTCTAAATGGAGAAAATACAAAAATGTATAAAATAAAACTTGGTATAAAAGAACAAAAATTACTAAGAAAATCTGACTTCACAAAATCTCCCAAATTTTTAGGAACATGCTTTATTTTTCAATAAAATTTAGAATTATAAAAACGAAAAAATCAACTCTAAAAATTATAAAAAGTTATGTTGCTCTGAAGTCAATAGTAATTAATTTTATTAAGCTTACAAAATAAATTTGGTTAATAAAAATGACATCATTAATAACATCAGGTATCATACACCTTCACATTGCACAGTGGGCTAAGATTGTCATTAAATAAACAAAAAAATTATAACTCCTTTATTTTTAAAGTTTTCAGATTGAAATTTTTATCAGTGACTCTAGTCATCATGAAAATCTTTTTCTTTTTTTTTCTAAACTATAGAAGCCACTTTTCCATCAATCATTGTGCATTCTAACTTATGTTTGATAATAAAGGGATTAAAGAGCATTGGTTTCAAAATAATGTTCTTGAAGGAAATATATTCTTTTGTAATAATCTCAGCACTTTCTTTTACATTTTGAAGTCGTACTGAACGGCAGTATAGTGTAGAGGATGGTTTTTCATTAGTCCATAGTGATTTGCCAGATTCTTCAATGTAAAATTTAATTGGAATGATGTAGAATGATGTAGGATAGAAATAAAAATTGTCCTCAACATAACTGATACTTATCTCATCTTCTGTACTTTGTTAGTATAATGATTGATTAAAATCTTACTTAGTGTATAAAGACAAGAATGGATTGCTCAGGTGCCTTTACAGATTCATTGAGTATTTTTAACAACCTGTATGTAGTATTGTCAATAAAGGTCTGTAAATCAACTAAGGCTGAATAATTAGTAGTTTGTATTCCACAAGGAGGTATGCATAAATCTTTTTCTTCCCTTTATTACACAGTTATCTAAAACACAGGCCTATTAATCGTGCAAACCGTAAAATAACTGGAGGCCGATTGAACTACAAAATATTGCCGAAGGTTAATATAGTTGCTTAAAATAAGAAAAAATATTTCTTGAGACTTATTATGCCTTTAAAGTGTTGTGTTGCAAATTGCTCTACTAATTATTTAACAGATAAAAAAAATGTGCTGTTTACAGATTACCAAAAGATCCAGAAGAACGTAGAAAGTGGCTATCTACTATTCCAAGAAGCAACATTCCTGATAGCAAATACACTGTTGTATGTTCTAAACATTGTCCTATAAAATTTAAAAAATTTTTTGTTTATGGTAAGGAAAGACCCTCTTCTTCACCTTCTATTTTTCATTGTGTTAAGTCCAGCCTTGTACCAACTGCACCTCCAAAATCAAGAGTTACAACTTCATCAACTGGTGCAAGAAATGTACAAGCTGATCAACTTGAGACTTTCATAGCTAGCACAGAGGGCCATGGTGTGCCAAAAGTCAAAATTATTTTTATTAAATTTTTGTATAAAAAACAACTATTCAATGAACGTAACATTGATTTACATTAAAACATAAGGATTGTTAATCAAAAAATGCGTCTTCATTAAAAAATTTTAATTTAAAGTTGTCACCCTGAACAATATTTTATGCGGCCAAGCGCTTTACTAAAAAAGTTTAAAAATATATTTTTTTTATATTTGTTGCCATTTAATGTTAGGTAATTTATATTACTATGAATTTAAGTTGTAGTTTTAATACATATATTGGCTATCGATTGGCATTTCTGTTTATCTTCTTGGACGTGTTTGACTCATTTTATAATCCATTAAAGATAGTGTATTTAATGGTTGAAATAATTGCGTTTTTTTTTTGCTAATAATATGTTTAAAAGAAAAGTCAACCGATATATATACAACTGCATTAGATCCAATAATATGTCTATACAAGATCCAACAATTTATGATCAATTAGTTGTCAAGTTAAACTTAAATGATTCTGAAATTATAAGAAACAAATTAATTGCATTCTTAAAGAACTTGGAATGATGTTAGCCGCAAAGTTAGCCTCTTGTTGGAATGATGTTAGCTGCAAAGCTGCAGCATTTGAAAAAAAGTATGCAAAATGGTTAGATTCTGACTTTATATCTTCTGCATATGTTTCTCCTGCTACTCCAACAGTTCTTAGTACTCCTCTTTGGTAGACTTACTTTAAATTTTGATGAAATTAAATGTCTTCTTTGAGATCTAAGTATAGAAAAGTTGCTGAAATGGATCAATACTCAGCTAGCAAACTATTTTTTGCAACTAGAGTTAAATTTGTAAAAAATAACAAGCCTAAAAAAGCCAAATTAGCAGAAAAATTGTTAGTAGATACTATATATCCATCTTATGCCTACTGATGAAGCTTAGGCACTTGTTTTGGATTGTAATTTGACAAAGGCATCTTATCAACTGATAAAAAACAAAGCTGATGAAAAGGAACACAATCTCTACCCAGCATATAATAATGTTAGAGTGACAAAAGATCGATGCTATCCTAAAAGCATATGTGGAAATGACTATATTGTTAGTTTTCTACTTCATGATCTACTGTGTGTTCTACTACATGAACTACAACATGGCTTTTGGAGATACAGACTGGTATTGTAAATGCAAATGAGTATAATAGAGTAACTCTAATATATAAAGCTGATTTTGATGGCTCAAGTGGATGCAGTATTTATAAACAAACATGTAATGATGATGAGTGTACTAGGAATCTGAAGAGTGAGGAGTCTCAGTTTATTACATGCTTGGTGCCTTTAGAGCTCTCATCTATTGTCAATGATAAAAAGATTATTCTTTGGAGAAATTCTAAACCATCATCTATTTTGTACTGTTGGCCTTTGTGATTTGAATTTTTTTTTTTTTTTCAACACTATGTTTCATTAATAAAAACTCATCAGAAATGATGACGAGTCAATAAAGACTCATCAGAAATGATGATGATTCAATAAAGACTCATCAGAAATGATGCATTTCTGATGAGTCTTTATTGATGAAACACAGTGTTGAATGAAAAATTTTTGTAAAGCAATTTTCTACAAATTTAATTTATTATTGCTCTGTTCTTCTAAGAACATTGAGCACTCTATTTTGTAGAATACATTTTAAAATTTGTTTATATATATATATATATATATATATATATATATATATATATATATATATATATATATATATATATATATATATATATATATATATATATATATATATATATATACATATATATATATATATATATATATATATATATATATATATATATATATATATATATATATATATTGTATATATTGTAAATATATGTATATATATATATATATATATATATATATATATATATATATATATATATATATATATATATTTATATATATGGTCAATTCCATACATCACGCACGTCACTTTTCAGATGTATATAAGCTCAAATTTTATAATAAAAAAATATAGAGCACTATTAGATGCATAAATCTGTTGCCAAACATGACTTTTACAACATAAAAACATAAATTCTTAATTTTAAGTATGTAAAACATTTAATTTATACATATAATGATGGTCACGCACGTCACTTGAATTGGACAAGTCATAATTTCATCATCAAAAAACACTATTTTCCTGAGCCGTTATAAACACTATCTGTGTCATTTTTAAACGCAATATACTTGAATCTATAACTAAATGGAAAATGTTAAAAAAGACACCAGAATGTGTAGTACATGAAAGTGGTAATACATTTTCCAAAATTGTACTTCACGCACGTCACATTTTTATCTATCACGCACGTCACATTTCAGATAAAAATGCAATATAATTTATTGTTACAGTTATAATTAACTGTTTGCAAGTCTTATGTTATTATGATATTCTATATAACATTAGTTAAATACCATAGAAATCGAAAAAGAAAACAAAAAAGACCCAAACCATTAGTTAACTTTTTACTCATAATGTCCTGATTTTGTGGAATTGACAATATATACATACATATATTTACAATATATACAATATCTGCAAATATATATATAATAGTTGCTTAAAATTTATTTAAGCAATTAATTTGTTCTAGTAATCCAGTCATTTCTTCACTAAGAACAATAGTTAGTACTAAAAAGGTTTTGTCAAGTTCTGCATTTGTTAAAAAACAGTGTTTAGTTGTTCTTTTTATGGATTTTTACAGGCCAAATTTTGGTTCTTGCTTTAATTATCATTAAAATTCAAATTTATGCATTGTAAATTAAAGTTGTCAGTAATCTATAATTAAAATAAATTAAAAAGTTCCCACATACATTTATTTGGAAAACCAGAGCATTAAAAATCCTTTTTTTTTAATAATTTGCAGTAAATAAGTCAGGAATTTGTATAAAATTGACTGTTGCTATTAAAAGCTTGTTGCTATGCATAATAAGTTATCTATAGCAACCAAACCTAATATTATAATATAAATAGTATACCTCATATTGGTACTCTTACCAAATTTAGTGTAAATGGCATACATAACAAATCTGCAACTACAAAAAGTAGGTTGTTGCTATGCAAAAAAATAGGTATCCATAGCAACTAAATAAAAAATAATGCCTTCATAAGAAGCTTAAACCTTATATTGGTACTCATGCCAAATATAGTGAATGTAACACTAATATTAAATTAGTTATTAATTTTGTCTCAAATTTGACCATTCTGGCCCACTGTGCCATGGGCTGTTTATGCTATATAACAAGTTTGTCTAAAAATCATGTAACTATTTTAAACAAATGATCGAATTTGGCTGAAGCTATAAGATATTTGACTAATATTGAGTTATTGATAAAAAAACAAGTTATTTTAGAAAGTTTATCTTTTATGAAAATTTTAAGTATTGGTGATACACTATATCTAACATTATTGTTCAAGTATTTTTCTGTTTCAAGAGCACTTTATAAGCAATTTCGAAATGATTCCCAGCTTCCCAGTGTTTCTTCTCTACAAAAATTGATATCAAAAGCTTCAAAATTAAATAATGATGAATTTATTTTGCATGTTTTTTGCAAACTTACTAACCAATAACAACAGTGCATTTTAATAGTCGATGAAATATATGTTAAAACTTCATTAATTTATCATGGTGGAGAACTTTTTGGGAAATTTGTTAATCAACCAGACAAATTAGCAAAAAAAATATTAGCTGTTATAATTAAATGTTTTTTGGTGGATCCACTTTTATAGTATGCATGATTCCAGTATGTTGTCTTGATTCAGATTTTCAGTTTGAAGTAGTTGATTCTATACTTTGATCAATTTCAAAGATAATACTTTTTTCTTTACAATTATGTTCATTTATGAAAAAACATAAATAGTTGGATTACTAAAAAACTCAAGAAATTCAGTTTAAGAACAATGATGATAATTTAATTGCAAGGTGGGATGACCTGAAGAACTTTTACAACTTAGAAAATAAGACACTTGTGACTCTTTCACATTTAAATACAGCTTCAATTTTTCCAAAATCTGTTGAGCGACAAAAGGTTTCTTTTGAGTGTTTTTTGTGATAAAACACTTTCTGCTTTATCAACACATCCTAAAATAGACCAAATCAATGTTAAAACTGTTGTATTTCTAAAAAAGTTTATAGATGGAAAATTATTAATGCTCACAAACTGGGTGATGATAAAAGGTTAAGAGACCCATTTGCTCTGTCGTTGAATCACCAGATTATTTTTGTCTGTAACAAATATTTTCATTAGAATTTGTAAAACTTGGTGACTTTACATCTGACACTTTTCAAAAAGCCTTTAGCAAGTTATGTTAAGGTGCTGGTGGTGCTTATTTTATTTCGGTTCAAGTTTTAGAAAAAACTAAAATTAAGCTCTCAAAACTACTTTTACAATATGATTCAGACTTTCGTGAGCTTCATGTTGGTTATACTTACATGTAGCTTCATGTTGGTTATACTTGCTTCATACTTGCATAAACTGTCAGAGGCAACTAAAACGAAAGGAAAGTAAAATATTTAATTCCCTGAAAATATTAGAGTCTAGTTTAACTGATGCTGTTAAAATGGCTTTAGTATACATTGCTGGTTACCTTCAATTTAAGATTGGTTATGATGATCTTGACACTGATACACATTCATATTGTAATGAGTATGGCGCTTATCTCAAAGACTTAATAGAGTTGGTTTGAAAAAGCCAACTGACATTTCAAGTCTATTTACTTCCTTTTGTTGTGTATTTTTTATTGCACTTGATCTGACTTTGCCAGTTTTGTCAACAGGAAGACGAAAGATTTTTACCCAGGGGCCATCACGAAGAAAATCACGGAAAGAGTTCTAGTCAGCTTTAAGGTAGTTGTAAGATATACAATGATAGGGGGATTTTGATGGTAAAGAAGAATGAGATGATATAGTCATCAAGATTACCAGCTGACAAGCAACAAATTGAAATGCAAAAGAAGAAGAAAATTCAACTTGCTTTTTAAGAGATAATGGGACTGATTGTCGATAGGCCTAAGACTGGCGGCTCAGGAACATCTAATGATGACAACACCTCCAGAAGAGCCTTTAAGAATGAATAATTTATTTTTGAAATTACAGGACTCAATTTTCAACAGCAATGTTTGTTTTTTCTGCTTTCCTCTTTGTTTTTTTAGAAGCTTGGGTGAATGGTATGGAATTTGCACCTGGTGGTCTTTCATAGGCAACTAATTTAAATTAAAATATCAGATTATTGTATTTATAATAACACTTGCTAAATCACAATGGAGTAGTAAAAAAGTTCATTATTTTAATTTTTTTGAAATATCATACCTATCTTGTAAGAAAAAGTAGGAAAAGCCAAGCACAAGTTTTATCCCTTGTCTAGTTAATCTGTTACAAAACATGCATGATTGCATGTTTTGAAACAGATAAACTACATTACAAAACAAACTAATGTTGGTAGTTCTTTTTTTAACCAGATTTTGTAATCCAATTCAAATCTATCCTTGTGTCTGTTTACTTTAGTTTAGTTTTTGTTAAATTTATGTCAAAGATCCATGTAGCTTTATAAACATTCGGGTCGGTAACTGATTTTATTAAGTTGTTTCCAAATCATTTTTCGAGTAGTTTCTTTATTTTCATAATGACTTTCAATTTATAAATAACTTTAAGTTTATAAATAAGAAAACCACATTACTAAATAAAATAAAATAGCATTAAATTTTATTGTTTCTTGTAGTTTCGGTAATTGCAATTAATTATTTAGAGTTTATACTTAACAACAAGGTGCTTTAAACAAATTAAAATGACAAACGAGTTGTATGTTTAAAACCTGCTAAACTTTGATTTGCGCTACTTTGGTGAAGATATTTTAAATGATAAACCTTCTACAATATTAAGACACTGTAAAGATGTTATTGTCATAGTGGGGAAATAAGAAACTGTAAAGATGTTATTGTCATAGTGGGGAAATAAGACACTGTAAAGATGTTATTGCCATAGTGGGAAATATTTAGTGGGGAAATGTGGGTAAAAAAAAATCTTAAGCCTTTTAGTGTAATTTGTAATAGTGTATTTTGTAATACTGTAACTGTCATATTTAAAGTTAAAAATAAACAATTTATAAAAGTTAAAAAAACAAGATTGTTTTTATTTGTTAAGTTTTCTAAAATAAAGCATGTACTGATATTGAGACTATAAAATTTGGATTAAATCAAAGAAACTTACGCGGTGAAATTCAATTTTAAGAGTATTTTTTTTTTTTTTTTTTTAATGTTTTTTAAATGGGCGAGCTTGAAAACTTTACCAGGTATTCAAAAATATTTGAACAGATTTTTTTGTGGGGAATTTACTTTTAAAATTTTGCAAAAAAAAAGTTTCCACGAATACTCATTTTCTGCATTTATGCCGATATCTGGCCCACTGTGCAAAGATTTTATTAGGTGAGTTTGACCTGTGGGAAATTTAATTGAATTTCACTTAAGTAACTGAATTTTAAAAATGAACTTCAGTTTTAATTCACCTCCGCATGGCCAAGAAGGCCACTATAGTCAAGGAGGCTATTATAATTGTGGTTACAACCCTCTCTCAATACTGAAACAAGAACCTTGACGAACAAGGCTGCTGTGTGGAGAAACAAGTTAAGTTGATATATATATATATATATATATATATATATATATATATATATATATATATATATATATATATATATATATATATATATATATATATATTATAACAGCTGTAGCACAGTGGTTAGTGTGCTTGCCTCAGAAGCTGAAGATCTGCAGTTAAACGTCACTTCTGGGCAAGTTTTATAACATCGGACAGCAGTAAGGAAGGAGGTGTGAACTTCTTTTCAAATGCTCTTCCGTGGTGCTCTGTGACTAAACCGTAAGGACTTCTTGGGGCACCTAAAATTAAAAAAAACATATATATTACATTTTTCAACTTAAAGCAACAATTTTTTATATTTAGCTCAAAGTTTATGAAAAAGATTAGAATTATTCGAAATCTTCAAACACTTAGGAAATATATACCAACTGAATATATTTTTATTTCTCCAGAGATTCAAAAGTAGGTTATTTTAGTTTTCTTTTTTTTTCCTACTTATTATCTTTTTATGGTTTTTGTGTATCAACTATCTATTATTAATTTTTAGTTAAGGATTTTGCTAAGGATCTATCATTTATCCACCACCTGTTGCATATGCACTAAAACTTTCTCTTTTTTTTTTTTTCTTTTTTTAAAGCGGACTTTTTCAAAGTTTATCAAGTTTGTTCCTAGTTAAAGTTATAAAAATTTTTTATTGTAATATAAATATCTAAAAATAAATACATTTTTATTTTTAATTTTTCTTCAAACGTGCTTAACTCATCTCCTCATCTCAACTAGGCAAAGTAATCCATATATTAGGTTACATAAGGAGAGCAGTAAATTTAAAGAAACAGCTAATTATAATCGAAAGTCCAATAAATGGCTAAAATATCAACTCCTAAAGTAATGCAAGATAAAAATTTTTAAGACTATCTAAAAGAAAAATATAGATTCCTATTGACTTTTTTTTTATTTATAATAACCTATCACTTTTTTGCGCATTTCATTGCAATTTTATTTTGCTACCTCTCATTATATGTTGTGTCATCGAATTCATAACTTTTAAAATATTTTAATTACCCAACAATCAGTTTTTTAATTATTATTTTAATTTTGGTATGCAAATAAATCAAAACAATAAATATTGTTATTTTTTTTTTCGCTACAACCATCTTTCATTTTTGGGTGTTAACTGTCCACTTTTTTTTTGGGTATAAACTATTTGCATTTTTATAAGTGTTACTTAATTTTTTTGGGTATAAACTGTTTGCATTTTTGTAAGTGTTACTTAATTTTAGTTAATTAACTGTTAATTAATTTTAGAGTCGATAAAATGTTTTGCTAATAGAAATTTTCATTAACTGCTGGAATAGTGAAGTTATTAACTGAAGTGAAGTTACGTTTCATATAACGTTTAATGTTGAATAAATAAAATGTTTTGTTTAGTTAATATATACATTTACATTTTGTTTAGTTAATATATACAATATATATATATATATATATATATATATATATATATATATATATATATATATATATATATATATATATATATATATATATATATATATATATATATATATATATATATATATATATATATATATATATACATATATATATATATATATATATATATATATATATATATATATATATATATATATATATATATATATATATATATATATATATATATAAATGTTTCATATAACGTTTGCTTTATAAAATTTCGATATCTTTTGCCAAAAGAGTTTGTTTTTTTATTAATATATGTTTGAAAATAAAACCGTTTGACGCTTCTACATACATACATACATACATACATACATACATACATACATACATACATACATACATACATACATTTTTATTAATATATGTTTGAAAATAAAACCGTTTGACGCTTCTACATACATACATACATACATACATACATACATACATACATACATACATACATACATACATACATACATACATACATACAAACATACATACATACATACATACATACATACATACATACATACATACATACATACATACATACATACATACATACATACATACATACATACATGCATACATACATACATAAAATGTTTTATAGTGTTAATAAAGAGGGTAAGAAGGAATTGCGTTTTTGTACCATGAATATTTTTTATTCTTCCATGTTATGTTCTTAAGTTCTTTAGGATTTCTTTTATTTTTAATTAAAAATAAATATAAATTTTTGTTAATAACAATTTTTATATGAGTTGTTCAAAATGTAAATATATATTTACGTACATTCGATGTATGTCAATATTCTTGAAATAAATATTTTATTTATGATAACTTACTTTTTTATATTTATTTCGAAAAGAATATACGGCAGACACGGTAGGAAATATTTACTTGTAAAGTTTAATTATTCATGAAGAAAATAAGAAAAGAACGCAATTAAGATAAAGTATGCCCAGTGAGCACACGTCGTCCGGAGGACGTCCACTTGACGTCTCATGGTCGTCCCCCGGACGACGCATGCCTACTGAGTATGTAGGGGAGGACGGATATGAGTGAGCCACTTTTTTAATAAACAGTTATTCCAAAGAAACGAAAAATTAAAAAAAATTAAATCATCTTCTAGGAATAACAAACTTTTTTTTTGAGGTCGCTAAATACTCCAATCATCTTTTTTTAAAAGCGGTTTTTTTTTATTGCAATTCTGTAAACTGGCTGGTTAATTTTGACTAGCTTATTATTGCAACATTTTTTTCAATCCGAACTCTCTCAGAAGTGCATGTGGCAATCATAAATCGATCCTTGTTTCCTTTCTTTTACTATTCTTTTTTCCAGTTTTAGGAGAGTCTCTGAATTTTAAAAGGCTTACAAAAGAATCTCATGATGCAGAGAGATCAATCACGACAACATTAGTTTCTACTGGTTTATTTCAATCAAAATGAACTGCGGAGATCGCAGTATATTTAAATCTTTAGAGAGATCAACCACGACAACATTAGTTTCGACTGGTTTATTTCAATCAAAATGAACTGCGGAGATCGATGTATATTTAAATCTTTAGAGAGATCAACCACGACAACATTAGTTTCGACTGGTTTATTTCAATCAAAATGAACTGCGGAGATCGATGTATATTTAAATCTTTAGAGAGATCAACCACGACAACATTAGTTTCGACTGGTTTATTTCAATCAAAATGAACTGCGGAGATCGATGTATATTTAAATCTTTAGAGAGATCAACCACGACAACATTAGTTTCGACTGGTTTATTTCAATCAAAATGAACTGCGGAGATCGATGTATATTTAAATCTTTAGAGAGATCAACCACGACAACATTAGTTTCGACTGGTTTATTTCAATCAAAATGAACTGCGGAGATCGATGTATATTTAAATCTTTAGAGAGATCAACCACGACAACATTAGTTTCGACTGGTTTATTTCAATCAAAATGAACTGCGGAGATCGATGTATATTTAAATCTTTAGAGAGATCAACCACGACAACATTAGTTTCGACTGGTTTATTTCAATCAAAATGAACTGCGGAGATATTTAAATCTTTAAAATTAGAAGCAGTTTCTATATGTTGAAGATGTGGATAAGCCAAATTCTATATGTTGAAGATGTGGATAAGCCAAATTCTCAGAAGTAATGTTTAGGTTACTTTTTAAACAACTACGTAACATCATAAGCTCTGTTTGTCACTAAACTGCAAATAAAGTCAGTATCTGTAAACATCTTGCTGTCTTAAGGAAATGTGTATATGTTTTTGTTTTAATGCAACTATAAAATGAGTTGTTATGGAAAGCCCTAAACACGCAGCACCTTGTAAAAAACATGTAAAGGTACTTGTACTTGAAAAATAGTAAATGTTGTTTTTGGATGAATCAACTGCTGCATTATATGCAGTTTTAAATTGCCTTTAAAACACTCATGTCAAGTGGGTGAAACTTGTTTAAGAAATGAGATGGTAATGTCAAAATAGTCCCCCGTGAAACTTTGTTAGCTTCCAGTTGTCTTATAATTAATAACGATGAATTTTCTTTAGTGCTAATATCCTAAAAGATTTTACTATTCATCCAGTCTGTTTTACATGCGAATCCAGGAAATCCGGAAGGAGCTCCTGGCAACAAATGCACTTGTGAAAAAACAAGTAGTGGTGAAAGATAATGTCCAAAAAATGAAACGCGGTACACTTCTACCCGTAAAGAAATAGCTCATTCCTCCTCAAGCTGTTAAATACACAGGTGGTTTAAGAATAAAAAACTGTTTGTCATAGATATTATATTGTTTATTAGTTATATTTCAACAACTTTATAATATCTCAAAATTGCAAATGTATTTATTAAAAAACTTTCACAAAGTACCTTAATGTTACTTTTACACCAAAACAAAATGGAATACACCACCAGCGTAAACACCCGCACCAAGATCCATCAAAAAAGTTAGATAGTTTAAATAATTTCTCTGTAGTTCTTGGTAAAGTTATTTAGCCCATTTTAGCTCATTTTAGTTATGGGATTAATAATTTACTCTTACCCGTGGCTCACTCCTACCCATCCTTATTGGCTCACTCCTACCCATGGCTCACTCCTACCCATCATTATTGAAAAGTCGGACACTCTTTTCACTAAGTTTGCTTTTCACCGCTCTTTTCACTAGGTTGGCTTTCTATGCAGTTTTTATGTTTGGATAAACATAAGCATAAGATTAGGAGTGTATCAGTTAAAAAACCTCAATAAGGTTTGCCATAAACTTTCTGGTTAAAAATTATTCAATTGTGCTTGGTAATAAAACCGTTAGGTCTTCTTAGAACATCTAAAAAACTAATAAAAAATATATGTATTTATCTACCAAAAATAGATTTTATAATAAACACGACCATTGAATATAATTTTAGTTGAAATTTTTGTTTAAATTTTATTTCCAAATAGTTTTCAAATTAAACATCTTAGATTTTGTAAGACACACATGTTAAAACTGAGGTTCTTTTTTTAAATCTTTTTAATACTTTATATAACAGTTTTAGTGATTTGACGTCACGCATTGTGGAATAAATAATTGATGAACTAGACTTTAATTGATGAACTACTACATAAATTAATTCTTCCGGTGTAAATTCAGAATTCTTCAATAGTAAAATTGAGTCAAATCAAAATTAAGATTACAAGGACTACCCTGCAACTGGTAACATGTAATCTAGTACAACCTGACTAATCTCCTTCTGCATCGAAAGATTTACTTGTCCAGATAAAAGCTAGGAAAAGTCAAACTTAAAGTCCTCCTGCTAAGGGCTTTTGGTTGAGTAAAAGCTAGAGATAGTGCTTCAATAAAAATGCTCAATTCGGCAAATGTTAACTGCATCTGGCTGATGTCTTGTAAAAGGCCTTTAAAATTTTATTTAAAAAGTTGACGCAGATGTAAACCAGTGTTATGTTGAAATCTATATAGGATGATCAACACTAAGGTAACCTTAAAGTAAGTGGGGTAAATAAGACATTATAAAAATTAGGGATATATGGCAACTAGTTGATTTGGTTGACAAAACCTATAACGTTTCCAGATCAACTCTTAGAAATTATCTATGTGGTAAGACTAAAAATATGTGGAAACCTTGTTGAACCGCTATTCCTGCTGTCAAAGAGCTTGTCATTGCTCAAAATTGAGCCATGACAAAGCACTTCATTAAGATGAAAAGCTTTGGGATCTGGCTGCTTAAGATATTCTTCAAACATTTTAAGAAGCTCTGAAGCTGCAAGTAAAGAACAGCTTGTTTTGTTTTTTTTCTCAATAGTTTGCACAACCTGAGCTAGAACATTACCCTTCTAATGTAGTGAACTAAGATAAGACAGATTTCAGCAAAAACCTTGGCTCCAAGAAAATGAATTATAGGAAGGTACTAACCGGAAAACCGCAAGGTACTATTATAAAGATTGAAATGCCTTTGCAATTTGTTGGAAAATTTTGCATTTTATTGAATTTGTATTTAAAAATTTAATTTAAAATACTAGGTTTAAAATTTGAAACATACTCAATCTTGTATGAGTAATTCTTTAACTTCACAAATTTATAGCTCCTTATAATTTTTTTTATTTTATTTGATAATTTAGTTTTAAGATTTGCGTTTTCCTGTAATTTAAATAAACATTTATTGCAATGTTTTGTTGTTTAAATTATGCTTTTGTTAAGTCACCAAACTACCCCATTTTCGGATTTTTCAAAAATGATTTTCGTTAGTAAGTTATGGATAAAGTTTTAAAGCTATATGACTGATTTTCACATGTGCAATGTGCAGGGGTAATTCTTGAATAAAATCTACAAATTTATTGCTTTTGCATTTAGGAACTTATTGAAAAAAAATACAGTCAAAATGTAGTCATCTTACCCCATCTGACGGTATATATATATATATATATATATATATATATATATATATATATATATATATATATATATATATATATATATATATATATATATATATATATATATATATATATATATATATATATATATATATATATATATATATATATATATATATATATATATATATATATATATATATATATATATATATATATATATACCAGGTATACCGGTATGAAGTGAGCGTCAAGATACAAATGTCTCGATAGGGAACATTTGTTGTGAACGAGCCTTTATTTTTTTTTGTTTGTTTGCTATGACATCTGTGAAACATATTTAGTATACATCAAGTAATTGAACAGACAACATCATATTTTTTCATCGTGTTAAAAATGTCGAATTTTGTACTGGAAAGTGATGATTTGCGGAAAGCATTAATTTTTTGTTTTCATTTGAAGAAAAGTGCTGCAGAGTCGCATCGAATGCTTGTCGAGGCATATGGTGATCATGCTCTATCAGAAGCAATATGCAAAAGATGGTTTCAACGGTTCAGAAATAATGATTTTGATGTGAGAAATGAAGAACGTGGAAGACCACCAAAAAAGTTTGAAGACGCCGAATTGCAAACGATATTGGATGGAGATGACACTTTGAGTCAAAAGCAAATGGCAGAAATGTTAAATGTTGCACAACAAACAATTTCTGACCGTTTAGAAGCTATGGGAAAGATCCAAAAGTGTGAAAAATGGGTGCCACATGAATTGAATGAAAGACAGATGGAAAAACGAAAAAACATTTGTGAAATTTTGCTTCGAAGACACGAAAGAAAATCGGTTTTGCATCGGATTGTTACTGGCGATGAAAAATGGATTTATTTTAAGAATCCTAAACGGAAAAAATCATGGGTTAATCCGGGACAACCATCAACATCGACTGCAAAACCAGATCGATTCGGCAAGAAGACAATGCTGTGTGTTTGGTGGGACCAGAAAGGTGTGGTGCTCCACGAGCTCCTAAAACCTGGTGAAACCGTCAATACTGATCGCTACCGACAACAAATGATCAATTTGAACCATGTATTGATCGAGAAACGACCAGAATGGGCAAGAAGACACGGCAATGTAATTTTGCTCCATGACAATGCACCTGCACACAAAGCAAAACCGGTTCAGGATACAATCAAAACACTTGGCTGGGAGCTGCTACCCCACCCGCCGTATTCACCAGACTTGGCTCCTTCCGACTACCATTTGTTTTTATCGATGGGACACGCATTGGCTGAGCAGCACTTTGATTCCTACGAGGAGGTCGAAAATTGGGTGTCTGGTTGGTTTGCTTTAAAAAACGAACAGTTTTATTGGCGTGGTATCCACAAATTGCCAGAAAGGTGGTCAAAATGTTTAGAAAACAATGGCCAATACTTTGAATAAAATGTTTTATACTTTCCCATTAATAATTAGTGTTTTATTTTCACAAAAAAACGCTCATTTCATACCGGTATACCTGGTATATATATATATATATATATATATATATATATATATATATATATATATATATATATATATATATATATATATATACTATATACATATATATATATATATTATATATATATATATATATATATATATATATATATATATATATATATATATATATATAT